CCCCAAAACCCCAAAACCCCAAAACCCCAAAACCCCAAAACCCCGAAAAATAGTATAAATTGAAATCAGCCAACTTTCAGATTAAATTTAGTGGTGTTCTGGTAAATGGGATACTTTAGCTCTTTGTCCTCTTTCAGGATTCTCTGCCTTATAGTCTTCAATTCTATCTTCCATTTCGTGTCTGAAGTGCCTGATGAGACCTTGAACTGGCCATGCTGCAGCATCTCCAAGAGCACAGATGGTATGTCCTTCAATCTGATATGATAGTTCTTCAAGCATATCGATTTCTGCAAAGTCTGCGTTACCTTTCCTCATTCTTCCTAGCATGTCCTCCATCCAGGATGTTCCTTCACGACATGGAGTACATTGTCCACAACTTTCATGAGCGTAAAATTTAGAAAGTCTGTGAATAGCTGCGATAACATCGGTAGATTTATCCATGACAATGACAGCAGCTGTTCCCAGACCAGACCTTACATCTCTCAATGCGTCGAAGTCCATCAAGACATCATCACATATACGCTTTGGAAGAAGAGGGACTGAGGAGCCTCCTGGAATAATTGCCTTAAGGTTGTCCCAACCTCCAGTGACACCTCCACAATGCTTTTCAATGAGTTCTCTTAGAGGAATACTCATCTCCTCTTCAAATACTCCAGGATTGTTGACATGGCCACTAACAGCAAATAATTTTGTTCCGGCATTATTCTTTCTACCGAAACTAGCAAACCACTCTGGGGTCCTTCTCAGAATTGTTGGGCAAACAGCCACTGTCTCTACGTTGGTGACTGTTGTTGGGCATCCATACAATCCAGCATTGGCTGGGAACGGTGGTTTCATCCTAGGCTTTCCTTGCTTGCCCTCTAAACTTTCAATAAGTCCAGTCTCTTCTCCACAAATGTAAGCTCCAGCTCCATGGACAACATGGACATCAAAGTCGTATCCTGTTCCACAAGCATTTTTGCCAATGAGGCCTCTTTCGTAAGCTTCGCTAATAGCTCTCTCGAGGCAATTATATTCGTACCAAAATTCACCTCTGATGTAAATATAGGCGGCTTTGGCTCTCATTGAGACTCCAACTCAGAGTGCTCCTTCAATCAACTTGTGAGGATCATGTCTCATAATTTCTCTGTCTTTACAAGTTCCTGGCTCTGACTCATCAGCATTAATTACGAGATACGATGGACGACCATCGGAAACCTTTGGCATGAAGGAGTACTTCAAGCCGGATGGGAATCCGGCTCCTCCTCTTCCTCTGAGACCAGAAGCCTTGATCTGGTCAATGATCCAGTCGTCACCATTGAGAACGATGTCCTTTGTCTTATGCCAGTCTCCTCTTTTGAGGGCTCCGTCAATAAATGGATCCCCATCTCTATAGAGATTGGTGAAGATTCTGTCCTGATCCTGTAGATTTCCATAAGTCCTACTGAAGGACATCTTGGTAAATCTAAACATATTCCTCGTCAACGATGCTCGATTGCTGAGCAAGTACTTAGAAAACATTTATAATTATAATAATTCTATAATATATAATTGAATTGGGGTTTTGGGGTTTTGGGGTTTTGGGGTTTTGGGGTTTTGGGGTTTTGGGG